GGGGGGGGGGGGGGGGGGGGGGTATTATTGGGATGTTCAGGGAGACATGGCTTTCAGATGGAGGGTTCAAGTGCGAGGCATAAGACCCCGATGAGCCCCTTTGACCCTGCGAGCAGCCCTGTCGGCCGCCCTAAGTGAAGGCAGGCCCGACCAAGACCACAAGGCCTACTTTCAGGCTACCACGCAACTGGGGAAAATTCAGGCAGTTGCGCAGCGCCAGTTGGTTTAGAGCGCCCAGGCCCTGGCTGCCTTTCTCGTAAGTAACTGAGGCAGGCCCTGGGGCAGATGCACAACATGGGCCGAACCCAGGCTGTGGGCAGTTGGGCACAAGCAACCGTCACAGGCCCTGGGCCTGATTCGTTAGGACTGGGGCTCAGCCTCTCGGGGCCTACCGGAAGCTTCTGGGCCGAGGCCCAGCACTGGCCGCATGCTGCGCAGGGCACTTCCATATAGGAAAGGGCCTGCCCCCGCATTCGGCATTCGGGCACTGTCCGCATGCTGCGCAAGCGCTGCTGCGCTAATCGCTGGCCAGGCCCACGCGCTCATGGGCGAGCAGGGAGAGAAGGCAGCCATAGCCAAGCTGCGCTGCACTGTGCTGGATGGGGCGCATGGTGGTCCTTGGGTGCATGTGGCATCCGTGAGTGGGGGATCGAGGTTGTGAGTGATACGAGAGACATACCTGGTGCTTGAGGCGAATGGCATTGGCCGAGATCTACTCGTACTTCGGGGATCTGTTGACGTCACCAGCGGCATTGTAGATAGGCTAGATAGGATCTGCCGTTTGTAGTCTGGGCGCAGAGCGCCAGATAGGATGTCGACACTGGTTCTTTGTTGATGATGATGAGACTATTCCAACATTGTCACTTATGAGCTTTTGCTGTGCTTTTATTTGGTGGAACTCGTGTTGCAATTCTGCTTTTTTCAGGCTACCACGCAACTGGGGAAAATTCAGGCAGTTGCGCAGTGCCAGTTGGTTGAGAGTGCCCAGGCCCTGGCTGCCTTTTTCGTAAGTAACTGAGGCGGGCCCTGGGCGAGATACACAACATGGGCCAAACCCGGGCTGCGGGCAGTTGGGCACAAGCAACCGTCACAGGCCCTGGGCCTGATTCGTTAGGACCGGGGCTCAGCCTCTCGGGGCCTACCGGAAGCTTCTTGGCCGAGGCCCAGCACAGCCTGGCCACACGCAGCTGGCAGGGCACTTCCATATAGGAAAGGGCCTGCCCCCGCATTCGGCATTCGGGCACTGGCCAGGTGCTGCGCAAGCGCTGCTGCGCTAATCGCTGGCCAGGCCCACGCGCTCACGGGCGAGCAGGGAGAGCAGGCAGCCATAGCCAAGCTGCGCTGCACTGTGCTGGATGGGGCGCATGGTGGTCCTTGGGTGCATGTAGCATCTGTGAGTGGGGGATCGAGGTTGTGAGTGATACGAGAGACATACCTGGTGGGTGAGGCGAACGACATTGGCTGAGATCTGCTCGTACTTTGGGGAGCTGTTGACGTCACCAGCGGCATTGTAGATAGGCTAGATAGGATCTGCCGTTTGTTGTCTGGGCGCAGAGCGCCAGATAGGATGTCGACATTGGTTCTTTGTTGATGATGATGAGACTATTCCAACATTGTAACGTATGAGCTTTTGCTGTGCTCTTATTTGGTGGAACTCGTGTTGCAATTCTGCTTTTGGTTCGAGGTCACGACCATCTGGTCTCTTGTGTATGATGCTGCTTGGTTTCTGAAGTTCGCCATTGCTCATTTTCCTTGCAATTTGGTATCGGAGCTGTGGTACGTTGCGCCAATCTGCTGGGTTAGCGGCCGTAGGGAGTGTGTAATGAGGAGGGCGAAGGCAAGCAGGTGACCCAGGAGGTGAGGGGTATTGCCAGGAAGGCTACGTGGTGAATATTGGGTGTTCGCGGTGTGATGAGAACTATCTGATGTGCGATTGATGCTGAGGTGGAACGGCGGTGTAATGCCGGTTGTGCCGAAGCAGCGATTGGTCATCACAATCGGCATCAGGTCATCTGGTGAGAATATCTGTGGTTGGGGGCAGCTATTTTTAGGTACGTTGCTCTTAACCTTATCTACCCTCTTCGACACTTCTTACCGTGAGGATGTGTGTTCTGTCTTGAGAGTCCTCTCATGTGAGGAGTCGAGTGCGGTCAACCTTGACAGTCGGCATTGTTCACATGAAGCATTTGGAAGGAGAGGGCGGAGCTATCTGAAGGGCCCTGGAAGAAGCATTTGGTCACGGTCACTATGCCAACCCACCTGGAGTAGAGCGCGCATGCTTTGCTGCTTTGTTCTTTGTCTGCTCGCTGCGCTGATAGATGGGTTATGAGGTGTAGGCCAGCCCTACAGGGGAGACGAGTACCGGGCGTCTATAAATAAGCACCGGCGGGGTTACCTTCCATTGGCTGTGATCGTCGTCCTGTTTGCGACATAAAATAATTCATGAGGACTTCGGGTGCCATCCTTAAACGGCTCTTGATCAGCCAATCGGTTTGTATAAGGCCCGCTGCACGGGAGGGTGAACATTGTGCAGGGCTGGCCATCTCAGCATACACTCGGGGCACAAGGGTGGGCCGTGTGCACGTGTGTAGACACGCACGCTATCCGGATCAGTCAGGAATGCTGACGTCAAGCGACAATCAAGAAGAATTGAGGGAGGGGTAGGTTTCAGGTGATCAGTTTGGGAAAGATTCCAGTCTACAAACAGCCATGCAAATGATTCTATTTTTATTTTTGATTAGTTAGATGTTACAGCCATTAACACATCTGACAGACAGCATAGGTCAAAATTACTGTGTGCTTTCTATTTGCGGACTAGTCAAAATAATATAGTTTCGTTTGTAGGAATCTGGACTTACTTGTTGGACCCGGATGTGTAGACTCTGACATGGCCACCGATTAATGTATTTTAAATCGGTCTGTGCACTACGCTGTGGTAGGCATCGAGTGTGACCTAGTTCAGATTGTGTACAATGCTGTAGCTTATGAGTGACAGGGGGAACACTAGCGAGGACGATAGGATCCTGCGATCAGCAAGGCACCCTATAGCCCACGTGGCATTAGGACCCGAGGGTGACAAATTCCTCTTCTGCCAGCAAAGGGAGAGAGCAGCAGCAGCGTAGAGCTAGGGCGGTAGAGGCAAGCAGAGCATTCGCAAGCGAAGCCGCTACTTCAGCAGCCATGGCCACAACTGCACAGCAAAGCTCTCAGGCTAGTAGTTCAGGGACTATAAGGGCAACGGTCGCACAGACCCTGAGTCAGTCCGCTGGCGTGATGGCAAGCCAGTAGTTAGCGTTAACTCCCGAGCATGGCAGCGGCGGACAAGTGAACAGGACAAGTCCGGACACTGGAAACCGGATTTCCCGGTTTCATCCGAACGTCCGGATTTCCGGTATTTTCCGGTTAATCCGGACATGTCCAGATCAGCCTGTCCGGATCCCTGTCCGGATGGGTGTATATGTCCGGATTCAGGGTTGCATCCCCGCCGACCGGTCGGGCCGACGGCCGACCGTATTGTACCGACCGATCGGGGCTGACCGGTCGACGGTAGCCGACGGCTCAGAAAACAGTCTTCCTCTGATTTTTTTTTTGTTTTGACTTCGGGGCTGTACTGCGCTTGCTGAGTACAGCCCAAATCCGCTGAGAAACTTTGGTTTCGGGGTGGAGGGGTTTGTTGGGGATACCTGCGGCGCAAGTGTGCTGGTCACGGATGCGCAAAAAAAAAGAAAAAAAAAGAAAAAAAGAAAAAATAACGGCTGTTATGTGTGAGAACACGCAAAAGAGAGAGAGAGAGAGAGAGAGAGAGAGAGAGAGAGAGAGAGAGAGAGAGGGGGGGGGAAATGTACACAAATAGCTCCTTATTAATATTTATTTCAAACCCCTGCGGGATATCCGAGAGGGCCCTGCACACAATCAGCAAGGGCCACGTTGCCATGAACGAGGTAGTAGTCATAGCCATGCTGAAAGTATGGCACGCCAAGTATATATGCTGTTGATTCACTTTAAGGTCCGTGTTACAGCAGTTATGGGACCACTGAGCACGCGAGTTTCAGGGCAATAGCAGGCCAACTCACCACGTGCAATTCAGGGCTTCCCTCCACAAAAAATGTGCAAAACTAGAATGATCTTCTGCTAGAACATGGAACTGTACGCCGCCATATGTTTTGTCTTTTGTGCAAGCGGTGACGAGTGAAGCAAGGCCCTTAGGGCCACTTGTCGTAGGAAAATGAAACAAAAGAAAGAGGAATGAATTTCTGCTAGAACATGGAACACATACGCCGCATATGTTTTGTCTTTTGTGCTGGTGACGAGTGGAGCAAGGCCCTTAGGGCCACTGCTCGTAGGAAAAAGAAACGAAAGAAAGAGAGAGCTACAGTAGTAAGTAGTTGTAACTTGTAACCCATAACTGCTCGAAAGCAGACCTGACTTCGGATC